ATATTTATATATAGATGATATATATTAGTGTGGGAGGTAGAATAGAAGGATGGAGAGTATTGGTACTCATGTTAAAGGGAACTCATCGATATTTAGATGCTTTGGCTTTTTCTGTTGTCAATCTCATTCCCAAACAATATTTTGGATGTGTTTGACAATTTTCATGTCTATTTGGAGGGTTTTAGAATAAATAGTCTCTTTATTTTCAAGGTCATACAGTTGAGAAGTGTGCATGAAATTCATTTTGATGAATAGATTAATTAGGAGTTTATATTTAAACTAATGTCAATATATATATATATATATATAGACAGTGAATCACACAATTATATTTCATAAAAAAATAATTTTAAAATTAAAAAATGCAAAAGAAAAATTTATTTATAATTTATAATATTTATAAACTGACAACGTATCAAATAAAAATTAAATGTTTCTGTTAGAGACATGCAAATCATATATAGATTTATGTCATGCGGCACTCTTGTTAATGTCTTGCAAGATTTAATCACCACAATTATTCCAGGCATCAAATAGCTAAAAAAAAAAAAAGATTCAAGAATGTGAGATTATTTGGTGAAAACAAAGTTCTATACACTTGAAACAAACAATTCTCAATTGAGTAAGGAATCAAACAATTAAGGTTAATCTGATGATCTTCCATGTGGCTTTCCGTATGGAAGACTTAAAATGCCTTATTTGACATAAAAAAAAATTGAATACTATTTATGAAAATGATTTCATGAAATAATAACAAAATTCTGGAAAGCAATTGTCCCTAAAAGCATAAATTTGCTTCACTAGTTCACTTTCCTACAGTCGACACGAATTTGTCCTTCTTTGCAAGTCAAGGGCTTAATATTTCCCATCTTAATCATTGACTTGGAAAAATCGTTCCAGAAAACTTCAGGGTTGGAGATGTAAGTCTTTACAAGATCATCAGTTGAGCCACCATTGAAAAGTGCTTGATCTGAGATGAGTAGTCCTCTCTTCTCCACCAAGTTTTTGAAGTATGAAGTGTCAAAACGTGCAGGCGTGGGATCTAAAGGAGCGAGGTTAGTGTTGCCTCCATCACGCGGGCAAGTTGCTCGACTCTCTTTTGCAAAGGCAGGGTCGATATTTGTTGCATTATAAATTCTGTTCCTAAAGGTAAAACATTGTGCTAACCCAATGGTGTGGCCACCAGAGAGGGCTACAAGATCTCTCTGGTTCAGACCTTGGTTCTTAAAGTTGTTGATTAATGCAGGAAGGTCCATGAATGGGGATGGAAGGACACTGTCTGCAAGAGTCTTGCTAGCTGTGGTTGAATCTCTCCTTCCTAGCCTCACCTTCCATGATGGTCCTCCTAGCTGCTGCAAACATGACAGTTTTCATTAGAAAATGATTGTTTACAAAATTTCTGACAATGGAAATGATAGGTTGAGTTTTCAATTTCAATCGGATAACATAATCACATACCGCAACCACAGAATCTCGGGCTGCAACGGCCAAGATATCGGCACAAGACACTACGGGGCGTCCACAAACTTTGTCCACTTCAGCCTTAATTTGGTCGATCACTTGAAATCCTCTGGTAGAATTTACATTGGCGCGTGCATTCTTTTCACTATCAATGGTAGCTGTAGAATCCAGCAGAAGTGAACCATCACAACCCTGCATTACAATGGCTAAAAATTCAAGAATGCAATTTTAAAAAAAAAACCTAAAAATTACTGATAGTAATGAAGAAATGTTGTGAAGTAAATGTAGTACATTAACGAAGCAGTAATGGAAGTGAAGACGAAGTAAAGAAGCTCCCATGCGCCGCCCTCGGTGGACAGCAGCCTGGACTACTTTCTTGATGGCAGGCAAAGCTTGGGGACAAACTTGGTCATAAAATTTGGGAGATAAAGAAAAAGCTGTGGTTGCAAGAACTAGCCAGACAAAGGTATGAAGAAGAAAATTGGTGGGTGAAGCCATTGATTAGAAAGTTGAATTTGCTCTGATTTAATTTTCTTTCTTTTCAAGTTTGTGAGTTTTGGGAACGGTTGGGGTTCTGCAGGGTATTTATAGCGAGTAATTTCGATTAGGACTTAGCCAATCATGAGAGTGGTTCTCAAGGCTTTTATTTTCATAGCCAATCATTAGACTGGTTCTCAAGGCTTTTACGTTACTTTTAAATCAAACTATTCGCAGTAGGCCCCTTTCTAATAGATTTCTTAGCCACGAAATTGAAATCGTCTAGTTCAGAAAGGATTATTTTTAAATTGTAGACATAAAAAATCTTATCAAAATAAGGAAAGAAATAAAAGAACTTAAAATGATATGGATAAGGAAAATAATAAAGATTGAATTGAAGGTTAGATTTGAGTTCTCTTCATAAAATACAAGACAAAGAACTAAGCAAGATTATCAAATATTCAAAATTATTGGGAAAAATTATATTGATTTTTTTTTTCTTTCCAAGGTATATTAGAGAAAGTGTATCGTAGTTTATTGAGGAAAAAAATATATTATAAGTTTTAAATTTTAAATTTGTTGAGTCGATCAATGTTATTTTTAAAATGAATTATATAGATCAGCATAATTAATGTTCAAATTTTATGTTAGAGAATTTAAGAACAATTATATATATATATATAATTATATATATATATATATATATATATATATATATACCTTTTCCATTTTGACACACTCAAAGAATGGGTTATTAATTAGGACAAGAAAAACCATTACTTGTGCTGCCCAGCTAAATAATAATACAAAAGTAAAAGCGGTTTTCTTTTTTTTTTTTTTTTGGCCAAGAAGTAAAAGTTGAACCATAAATCTTAAAGTCAAACAATATCATATGAATTAAATGAAAATTTGGCCAATCCAAACAGGCCAGCCTCCTGCTGATTACATTGATTAATGTATTTGTTGATTAATTCCCTTAATTATGTTTCAAGAGAAATTTTCTTTTTTTCTTTTCTTCCTCTATCATAGGCATCCAGTGTTGAACTTATCAACAGTGTAGTCACTCTCTTTAATATGTAGAAAATAAATAATTAGAAGAGGTCAGGTTGCTGGTCGTACTTTTTTTTAAAGTTCTCTATGATCACTGATTCGTCTTTGCTTCAAATTCTTTTTGGCAATTATGGTATAAAGCAGAGATGAATGACCATGCAGTTTGGTTTAACAAAATAATTTAGATATGATAATTATTTATACTAATATTAAAAGATTAAAGATATAAAAAGCTCTTGAATTATAATTAAAAAATCATTCAAAATTCTTTTATTGCAATAAAATTAATCTGTCTAATATTTATTTATATCTAGTTAAGGACTTATTTAGATGAAAAAATTAACACTGTTAGTTTTTTGTTTGCTAAAATAAATTTTCATATGACACTAATACAATAAATTAAAATTTAGTATATTACGTAATTAATATATGTGAAAATTAAATAAAATAAACTTTTTTTTCTATCTCTTTTTCTTTTTTTTTTTATTAAGGGGAGGGTATAACCCTTATAAGGCGAAAAAAAGAGGAGATCTTGACTGAAACCAGAACTTCTATGTCTTCGTAAAACCTCCTTCGCCAATAGATCAAGAGGTGAATGACTTATTTTTTTTTAAGATCCCTTTAAAAATTTAGTTGACTATAGTCGGTGTGGATTAAATTTTGTCATGTGGTTATATTTCATCCATTTAAATGTTTAATTGAATCAAAACAAAAAATTAAGGGTTGGATTGATCGTAATAAAATATTAAGGACTTAAATAATTATTGAATTATAATTCAAAATTATTTGTGACGTCTTAATCAAATTAAAAGCTAACAGTTGTATGACATGTTAATAAAAAAACAAACTTTTAGTTCCACTAATAAAAGTTCAATTTGTAATAATCTCAATTGCCAAAAAAAAAAAAAACAACAACAACTAATGTTAAAGATGTATAGCAAATTTTCTTTACTCTCTTACATTTTTCCCTCTTTCTTCTCAACTTCATATCTTTATTTTCAGTTTCCTTTGAAAGTTTTAAGAATTCAAAAACAAGGTAATGATAGAATAAGAGGATACTAAAAAATTGTGGTGATAGTCATATATATATATATATATAATATGTAGGAAGAATCAATTTATACCGTAAGATTTTTTTAGTTTTACATTTTTTTTAATTAATTCCAATAGATTCAAAAAATGAAATTAAACCATTTTTTTATTTTTACTACGCTCTCCTTTTTTTTTTTTTTGGATTTATGAAAATTAAAGATCATAAAAATATGTAAATTTTTTTAAATTTTGTACTATGTAAATTGATTTTTTTTAATATATGGATAAAAAGAGTTGGAAAGAGTGACAGTCCTTATGTTAAATGGATCTTTTTTCTTTTTTCCTTTTGTAAGGATTATGCCCTCCCCTTAACAAAAAAAAAAATAAATAAATAAAATTCAAGGATATTGAGATGCTTTGCCTTTTTCTGTTGTCAATCTCGTTCCCAAACAATATTTTGGATGTGTTTCATGTCTATTGAGAGGGCTTTTCAATAAATAGTCTCCTTATTTTCAAGGTCATATAGTTGAGATCCGTACATAAATTTTATTTTAATAATTAGATTAATTTGGAGTTTATTTTTAAAATATTACCGGTATATATATATATATATACACAGACAAGCAATAAATCACAAAATCACATTTTATAAAAAAAAAAATTAACTTTAAAATTTAAAAATGCTAAAAACAAATACACTTAATTTTAAAAATATATTTAAATTTATTTTTAAATTTACCACTTTTGTTGATGTCTTGGAAGATTTACCACAATTATTCATGGCCTCCAATAGCAAAAAATAAATAAATAATCAAGAATGTGAGATTATTTGGTGAAAACAGAGTTTTATACACTTGAAACAAACAATTCTTAATTGAGTACAACGAAATCAAACAATTAAGGTTAATCTGATGATCTTCCATGTGGCGTTTTGTATGGAAGACTTTCAACGCCTTATTTAACATTAAAAAAAATGAATACTATTAATGAAAATGATTTCTTGAAATAATAAAAAAAGATATCTGAAAAAAAAATTTCCCCAAAAGCATCAATTTGCTTCACCAGTTCACCTTCCTACAGTTGACACGAATTTGTCCTTGTTTGCCAGTCAAAGGCTTAATATTTCCCATCTTAATCATTGACTTAGAAAAATCGTTCCAAAAAACTTCAGGGTTGGAGCTGTAAGTCTTTACAAGATCATCGGTTGAGCCACCATTGAAAAGTGCTTGATCTGAGATGAGTAGTCCTCTCTTCTTCACCAAGTTTTTGAAGTATGAAGTGTCAAAACGTGCAGGCGTGGGATCTAGAGGAGCGAGGTTAGTGTTGCCTCCATCACGTGGGCAAGTTGCTCTACGCTCTTTCGCAAAGGCAGGGTCGATATTTGTTGCATTGTAAGTTCTGTTCCTAAAGGTAAAACATTGTGCTAACCCAATGGTATGGCCACCGGAGAGGGCTACAAGATCTCTCTGGTTCAGACCTTGGTTCTTGAAGTTGTTGATTAATGCAGGAAGGTCCATGAATGGAGATGGAAGGACACTGTTTGCAAGATTCTTGCTAGCTGTGGTGGAATCTCTCCTCCCTAGCCTCACCTTCCATGATGGTCCTCCCAGCTGCAGCAACCATGACAGTTTTCATTAGAAAATGATTGTTTACAGAATTGCTGACAATGGAAATGATAGATTGAGTTTTCAATTTCAATCGGATAACATAAGTCCATACCGCAACTACAGAATCTCGAGCTGCAACAGCCAAGATATCGGCACAAGACACTACGGGGCGTCCACAAACTTTGTCTACTTCAGCCTTAATTTGGTCGATTACTTCGAATCCTCTGGTAGAATTGACATTGGGCCGTGCATTCTTTTCACTATCAATGGTAGATGTAGAATCCAGCAGAAGGGAACCATCACAACCCTGCATTACAATGGCAAACAATTCAAGCTTGCAACTTAAAAAGAAAGGCTAAATATTACCGATAATAATGAAGAAATGTTGTGAAGTTAATGTAGTACATTAACGAAGCAGTCATGGAAGTGCAACCGAAGTAGAGAAGCTCCCATGCGCCGCTCTCGATGGACAGCGGCATGGACTATTTTCTTGATGGCAGGCAAAGCTTGGGGACAAACTTGGTCATAAAATTTGGGGGATAAGGAAAAAGCAGTGGTTGCAAGAACTAGCCAGACAAAGGTATGAAGAAGAAAATTGGTGGGTGAAGCCATTGGTTAGAAAGTTGAATTTGCTCTGAATTAATTTTCTTTCTTTTTGTGAGTTTTGGGAATGGTTGGAGTGCTGCTGGGTATTTATAGCGAGCAATTTCGATTATGACTTAGCCAATCGTTAGACTGGTTCTCAAGGCTTTTATTTTATCTTGTATTGACTGTAGGCCCGTTTCTAATAGATTTTTTATTCTCGAAATTGACATGGTCATGTTCAAAAAGGAAATTTTTTAATTGTAGACATAAAAAAATCTGATAAAAATAAGGAAAGAAATAAGAGGAGAACTTAAAATGAAATGGATAAGGAAAATAATAAAGATTGAATTGAAGGTTAGATTTGAGTTCCCTTCATAAAATACAAGATAAAAAACTAAGCAAGTTTATTAAATACTCAAAATTATTGGGAAAAATTATATAGATTTTTTCCTTACCATGGTATTTCAGATCAAGGAGGTTGTAGTCTAATTAAAAAAAAAATTATAAGTGTTGGAATTTAAATTTTAAATTTGTTGGATAAGTCAATTTCATATTTTATAAGTAATTACATGAACCAACAGAATTAAGATTTAAGTTTTATATTAGAGGATTTAATAACAAATTACATATATATGAAAATGGATTAATTTATGCATTGTAAAATTTTAAAAGTTTTATATATTTTTTAATCATTAATTTTGATAGATTCAAGAGATGAGAAAATTAAATAAAAAAATAATTTACTTTCATCCCTTTAATATATTAATCAATAATTAAAAAATATATATATAAAATTTCTTTAATATTATATATCTAAATTGATCTCTCCTCTATTTATATATATGAAAAACCAAGTCAATTAACGTGATATAAACTTAAAAAGTTTATATAATTTTCTAACCATTGATACATTGAAAGAAAGGAAAATTAATTAACAGACGAAAAACCACAGTCAAATATTAATTAAGTAGCATTAATTGTATAGCCCAGCTCAACCATAATAATACAAAGCTTTTTGTTGGATAATAAATCTTAAAGTCAAATAATATCATATGAATTAAATCAAAATTTGGTCAAACAGAAAAGGCCAGCCTCCTGCTGATTACGTTGGTTAATGTATTTGTTGATTAATTCCCTTAATTATGTCCTTTTTTCTTTTCTTCCTCTATCATTGGCATACAGTGTTGAACTTATCAACATTCTAGCCACTCTCTTTAATATGTAAAAATTAAATAATTAAGAATAGGTCAGGTTGCTGGTCGTACTTTTTTTTTTAGTTCTCTATGATCACTGATTCGTCTTTGCTTCAAATTCTTTTTGGCAATTGTGGTATAAAGCAGAGATGAATGACCATGCAATTTGGTTTAACAAAATAATTTAAATATGATAATTATGTTCACTAAAATTAAAAGCTTAAAGGTTTTAAAAAACCCCTAAATTATAATTAAAAAATCATCCAACATTTATTCGCATTCAATTGTACTTTTATGTGGATGAAAAAGTTAAACATTATTAATTTTTTTTCCTAATTCAGATAAAATTTTATATAATATCAATAAAATAAATGAAAATATATCCCGTAATACAACTAATATATGTAAAAATTTTAAATATAATTTTTTCCTTTTTTTTTCTTCTTTCTTCCCTACATTCTCTCTCTCTCTCTCTCTCTCTCTCTCTCTCTCTCTCAAATTTCTTTAAGAATTTAATTAATTATAGTTCGAAGATTGATTCATTAAAATTTATCATGTAATTAGATTTCGTTCATTTATGAAAATTTAATTGAGTTGAAATAAAAGATTAAGAACGTAAGTTATTGCAATAAAATATTAAATACTTAAATGATTATCCAATTATAATTCAAGGATTTTTTTTATCTCTTATCAAAATTAAAAGCCAAGGGTCGTGTGAAATGTTAATAGAAAAACGAACTTTTAGTTCCCCATAATTGAAGTTCAATTTCTAATAATCTCAATTACTACAAAAACAACGACTAAAATTAAAGATGTATAGCAAGTTTTTTTTATTCTCTTATATTTTTCTCACCTTTATCTCAACTTAATATCTTTGGTTTAAGCTTCCTTGAAGTTTTAAGAATTCAAAAACAAAATAACGGTGGAATAAGGGGATTCAAAATTATTTTTGGATAAGTATTTATTATCCAAGAAACAATAATCATTGCCACAAGCACGAAATACAATACTTAATTTCTCACTTTCTGTACAACTATTTTTTACTTAATTTCTTATTATCATTGTTATCGTTCAATTATATCTCAACTTAATTCTTATCGTTCCCTCAAATTTTGGTTTATTCAATCATTAGCTATATTGCTTATTCCTACTAATCTTAGCTTTACTACATCTCTTATTTGCTTCACTATCTGCTCTCCTGTCATTTCCTAGGAATTGTAGCGGCTCTGAATCCTTTCTGCCCAAATCATATATATAGGCCCCCAAGCCAGCCTCAATGGTACTAAATCAATCGCCTTTCCTTTCAGTCGTCATATTGCCCACTGAAACTGCTCTCATCCTGTCACCTCCCTTGCAAGTTACATTTCCGAATTTCCTTTGGATATGTTCAACTAAAGAAAATATGATTCTTGCTCCCCCTTTCCCGTTTACAAAGCACACAGCATTCATCCACAGATATCCTTGAGACAAAAAATTTTGGTGATAGTCATATATATATAATAGGGCGAAATAGAAGAGTTGGAGAGAGTAGTAGAGCTCATGTTAAATGGAACTCGAGGATATTCAGATGCTTTGGCTTTTTCTGTAGTCAATCTCATTCCCAAACAACAATATTTTGGATGTGTTTGACAATTTCACGTCTATTTAGATGGTTTTTGAATAAATATTCTCTTTGTTTTTAAGGTCATATAGATGAGAAGTGTACACGAGTTTATATGTTTACAGGCAGTGAATCAGACAATTATATTTTACAATAAAATTAATTTAAAAATTAAAAAATGCTAAAAGCAAATGCACTGAATTTAAAAAATATATTTAAAATTAATTTTTTATGAGCTGAAATTTTAAAGTTTCCTTACAGTTTATAACCATATATATATATATATATATATATATGTCATGCGGTACTCTTGTTGATGTCTCGGAAGATTTGCCACAATTATTCACCGCCTTCAATAGCAAAATAAATAAATAAATAATAAATAATCAAGAATGTGAGATTATTTGGTGAAAGCAAAATTCTATACACTTGAAACAAACAATTCTTAATTGAGTACAACGAATCAAACAATTAAGGTTAATCTGATGATCTTCCATGTGGCTTTCGTAAGGAAGACTTAAAATGCCTTATTTAACATTAAAAAAAAATTGAATAGCTTTTATGAAAATGATTTCATGAAATAAAAAAAAAAATTCTGGAAAGCCATTGTCCCTAAAAGCATCAATTTGCTTCACCAGTTCACTTTCCTACAGTCGACACGTATTTGTCCTTGTTTGCCAGTCAAAGGCTTAATATTTCCCATCTTAATCATTGACTTAGAAAAATCGTTCCAAAAAACTTCAGGGTTGAAGCTGTAAGTCTTTACAAGATCATCAGTTGAGCCACCATTGAAAAGTGCTTGATCTGAGATGAGTAGTCCTCTCTTCTTCACCAAGTTTTTGAAGTATGAAGTGTCAAAACGTGCAGGCGTGGGATCCAGAGGAGCGAGGTTAGTGTTGCCTCCATCACGTGGGCAAGTTGCTCTACGCTCTTTTGCAAAGGCAGGGTCGATATTTGTTGCATTGTAAGTTCTGTTCCTAAAGGTAAAACATTGTGCTAACCCAATGGTGTGGCCACCAGAGAGGGCTACAAGATCTCTCTGGTTCAGACCTTGGTTCTTGAAGTTGTTGATTAACGCAGGAAGGTCCATGAATGGAGATGGAAGGACACTGTTTGCAAGATTCTTGCTAGCTGTGGTGGAATCTCTCCTGCCTAGCCTCACCTTCCATGATGGTCCTCCTAGCTGCAGCAACCATGACAGTTTTCATTAGAAATGATTGTTTACAAAATTGCTGACAATGGAAAAGATAGGTTGAGTTTTCAATTTCAATCGGATAACATAAGTCCATACCGCAACTACGGAGTCTCGAGCTGCAACAGCCAAGATATCAGCACAAGACACGACAGGGCGTCCACAAATTTTGTCCACTTCAGCCTTAATTTGGTCGATTACTTCAAATCCTCTGGTAGAATTGACATTGGCACGTGCATTCTTTTCACTGTCAATGGTAGCTGTAGAATCCAGCAGAAGGGAACCATCACAACCCTGCATTACAATGGCAAACAATTCAAGATTGCAACTTAAAAAGAAACGCTAAATATTACCGATAATAATGAAGAAATGTTGTGAAGTAAATGTAGTACATTAACGAAGCAGTCGTGGAAGTGCAGACGAAGTAGAGAAGCTCCCATGCGTCGCTCACGATGGACAGCAGCGTGGACTATTTTCTTGATGGCAAGCAAAGCTTGGGGACAAACTTGGTCGTAAAATTTGGGAGATAAGGAAAAAGCTGTGGTTGCAAGTGCTAGCCAGACAAAGGTATGAAGAAGAAAATTGGTGGGTGAAGCCATTGATTAGAAAGTTGAATTTGCTCTGAATTAATTTGCTTTCTTTTCAAGTTTGTGAGTTTTGGGAATGGTTGGGGTGCTGCTGGGTATTTATAGCGAGCAATTTCGTTTAGGACTTGGCCAATCATGAGACTGGTTCTCAAGGCTTTTATTCCCTTAGCCAATCATGAGACTGGCTCTCAAGGCTTTTATTTTCTTAGCTAATCACGAGACTGGTTCTCAAGGCTTTTATTCTACTATTAAATCAGACTTTTCATCGTAGAGCCGATCCTAATAGATTTTTTAGCCATGGGCAAGTTGAAAAAGGATTACTTTTTAATTGTAGACAAAGAAATAAAAGAACTTAAAATGAAATTTATAAGATAATAAACATTGAATTGAGGTTAGATTTGAGTTTTCTTCGTAAAATACAGGATAAAAATAAGCAAGTTCGTCAAATATACAAAATTACTGGGGAAAATTTTATTGATTTTTTTTCTTATCAAGGTATATTAGAGAAAGGAGATTGTAGTTTAATTAGGAATAGAAGATAAGATTGTAGGTGTTGTGATTTAAATTTTAAATTTATTAAATTCATCAATATCATTTCTTAAAATTAAACCAATTACATGAATGAAAGAACTAAATTTTAAATTTATATTAGACAATTTAAGAACAATTACACATATAGCTGTTCCACTTTGACACACTCAAAGAATG